GTAAAGTAAAGTAAAAATATCAGAAAAATCTACTTGAGTACAGTAACGAAGTATTTGTACTTCGTTACTTCCCATCTCTGACTGTTACTGGCTGAAGGGCAACGGGTCCATGTCGTGGCAGTAAAAAGGTGTTGGACGCTAACAGTTTATACATCAGTATTAAACACAGCATGTTTTTAAAATAAACCCGTTTGGAAAGATGCTGCTGATGTGATATTATCACCAGGGTTGGGAACAATCTAACTGATCCATGTATAGAAATAAAAAAATAAGGTCAGAAATAAGCTGTGGCGATTAATGTGAAATAAGACATTAATGCGTTTAGGCCTAATTCTGCCACAATAAATAATAAAATGTGAATAAAAAGAGAAACTTAAGTTCCAAACATTTAAATCTGCTAAACGTTGATGATGTTGGCAGGTAGAGAACAGAGGAAGGAAGTGAAATGTACCCTCCTGTCAGGCTCGGCTGACGTACAGGACTCCATCTGTTCTTCTCCGCCCTCCATGACTCCATCCTTTAGCTCATCTATCTCCTCTTCCTCCAGCGCCTGTCCCTCCTCCTCCCCATCCTCCAGCGCCTGTCCCTCCTCCTCCCCATCCTCCAGCGCCTGTCCCTCCTCCTCCTCATCCTCCAGCGCCTGTCCCTCCTCCTCCTCATCCTCCAGCGCCTGTCCCTCCTCCTCCTCATCCTCCAGCGCCTGTCCCTCCTCCTCATCCTCCTCCTTGGGGCCTTCAGCTGCGTTTCCCTCTGAATGCTCGGCCCTGCTGCAGGACACTGAGGCTGGCGGGTCTTCGTCCTCCTCGCTGTCTGAGGACACCATTGCGGGTTCTGCCTGGAGGCTGAGATCCTCCTGGCTCCAGGCCTCCTGCAGTGTGGATGCTGGTGGATCTGCAGCGAGGACTGGGGGCTCAGAGGGTGGATCATCATGGATGATAATCTGATCTTGCTTCATTTCTCCCAGAATTCCTGTTAACCACATATCAACCTCATTCACACCTTCTCCGCTTTCAGCCTCTCCTTCTATTTCCCAGATCTTCAGGTTCTGATTCGCCCTTTTCATCACCTTCTCTCCCTCTTTCTTCCAGTCCTCCCTCTCCTCCTTGCTGAACACCTTCTACNGGATGATAATCTGATCTTGCTTCATTTCTCCCAGAATTCCTGTTAACCACATATCAACCTCATTCACACCTTCTCCGCTTTCAGCCTCTCCTTCTCTTTCCCAGATCTTCAGGTTCTGATTCGCCCTTTTCATCACCTTCTCTCCCTCTTTCTTCCAGTCCTCCCTCTCCTCCTTGCTGAACACCTTCTACTTCTCTCCCATCTTCTTCTCCTTCCACCTCCCCTCTTCTGTCATCTTCTCCCTCAATCTCTCCTCTCCCACCAACCTCTTCCTCGCTGTCCTTCTCTGCTTCAGTTTCAAAAACAAGGTATTCACATTCCTTTGGTTCCTGGTTCTCAGTAGCTCCTCCCTCTCTTGGAAGCTCTGGGACTTCCTGCGTCTCCTGGCTGTCACAGCTAAACAGGTTCTCTTCCTCCAGGTGTGTTTCTGTGTGTGAGGGACCAATCTCCATGGCAACTGGATTCTGTGGGTGTTGAGGAGGAGGAGAGTCACTGAGACTGTTGACACCAGAGGGACGGTTGTCGTGGTTTCCGTCTGTAAGTTCAGGTATCGTCCTCCGAAACCCAGCTGTAGCTCTCTGCAGAAACAAAAGCGTTTAAATGAAAAGCAGAAAATGGGAGAAAGTAAACAGTAGGTGGTTGATGATCATATGCAGGCAGCTTTGAATGAACAAATTTACTTTAAGGCATGGTGGTGGAGGGGTGATGCTTTGTTTCAATCCTTTTTAAGCAGCAAACATGTGATCTGTCATTACTTTCCAGTTGATTGCATCCAGAT